GGTCTAGTGATGATGATGACGATGATGACGATGATGTCGATGACAATAAAGATGATGATGATGAGGAGGATGACGTTGATGATGAAGATAATAAAGAAAATGCTGATGATAATAATAATATAATAATGTATAAAGAAGAAACATTTACCATCCACTGTAAACATGCAATTTCAACAACTATCTTGAGAATAAAAATACTGATGAAACCGAACTTAAGCGCTACTGATTACAGCCAGAATCCAACTTCCGCCTCATCTTGAAAGTTATAGAACCTGTTATGTTTGGCAAACTTTTAAATCATTTGAATAAAAAAAAATTTAATTTTGGCTTTTCAATTTAGAAATAAGCGTCATCATTCAACCGAAACGGCATTAAAGGTTAAAGATCAATGACACTCTCCCTAGGTTCAGAAGAATTAACAACACTTAAACAGCATATATGTATACGTGCTAATGCATGTTATATGAGGGGATCTTTTTGTCATAGTCGCGACCGGGCACTACACACACTGTGAAACGGCACCAGGCGACCTAACCACTAGGCCATCACATCGCCCATTGTCATACGTCTTGTCCGAATTGTATGCTGCTGTAGACAAACAAATTTTCGTTTTTTTTCTATTTTAGACGTGAGTGAAGTATTTGATTGCATCGACTGTTAGATTCTTGAGTAGATTAGTGTATAACTTTGGCCTTACAGAAACAGTCATCACATGGTTTAAATATTACTTATTAGAAAGTACTGAGCAAGTTCTTTTCAAACACACTTGGCCTAATGTAAAAAACAATGTCCTCTGCTGTAGCACAAGGTTTCGTTCATGGACCCATCTTGTTTTTCCTCTACGCTGCTGACGAATTTAGAGTGATTGATCCATTCGGCTTTTTATGCCTCTCTTATGCAGATGACATACAGATAATAGTCAGCAGTCAACCTGAAGTGTTTCAATTCACGGTTAAAGAACTTACAAGTTGTTTGGCGCGGGTTGTTGCATGGATGTCAAAAATTGTTTTATACTAGATCGGAACAAATGACAGTTTTCACCTGTAGCTGTAGGAGCCTGGCAACAATTATTATCGACTCCATCTTATTTGGGGGAAAATGAAATTCAGTTTTCTAAATAAGTTACTACTTTAAAATGTATTTGTAACTTAAGGTTAACATTTAATGACTATGAAAATGTTTTCTGAATCATGTACACTCCAACTTCAGCAAAAAAATTAAATTTGGAAGTCTTTTTTCCAATCAGCTATGCAACCACTAATAAAAGCATTCATTCACTCACGGTTGAATTACTATGCAAGCTTGTTCCACCAGAAAATCCATTGCTACTCTTCAGTCGATTCCAAATAGAGTCATTTTGGTGGTAGAAAGTTTGAGCATGTCTCAGTCATATTAGAAAATTTTCATCGGCTAAATTAAAAAGAGAGTCAATTATGAGTCACAGTGTATTCTATTTATGCGCTTTATAAATTTTTAATGATAATAATAACAATAATAACAACGTAAATGATGACGTAATAGATTATGGTGCTAGTTGTGACGGGACTAATCCAAATGGTAATGATGAAACCGATGATGATGTTGATAACGACGATGATGATGGTGATGGGGAGGTTGGTGGCATGAAGAGTTGCTACTTGTTACAAAGTGTTGACACAATGGCATTGAAAAGTGGCTACTCTCACAAAGCTAATACTCAAAACTTATTCTGCCAAACATACGCAAATAACGCAAAAAGATATAAACGATTATTGAGTTAACATTCATCAAAACTTATCGAAACTTACATACTTTTATAACGTCTAACATTTGAGTTATATTTTGTAATTGAAACACAATGTTTGATTGTTTTGTCAATCAACTAACACTTCAAAAAACCAAATCAATCAATCAATCAATCAATCAACCAACCAACCAATCAATCACAACAAAGCTTGCATCATCATCATCATCGCCATCAAACATATTTTATCACGGGTACATTCATATACACACTTGCAAAGGCATCTTATTAAATGTGTTTTTCGTAACCATTGAAATCATCAGGCAGCAATGCAGAGAACCGTCTCCAGAGAGTATGAATTGTAATTAGGCAATTTACTCTGCTAACACTCGACTATGCGTTTGTATTTGTACATAATAGCAGCAGCAACAATAATAATAATAATAATAATAATAATAATAATAATTATTATTATTATTATTATTATTGTCCTCGTATATAGGGTGGTGGGGTGGTAGTGTGGGTTGGTACGCGTATTGAGATGACGGTAGCAGCAGTAAATATAACAATGAAGTGGTCGCAGGGATGATGGCAGTAACAGTAATAGTTGTATTAATGCAACATTAGCAGTTGTAACAACACAATAGCTGTGGGTTGTCCATTTTGTGGAACAATATTTAAAATTAAACAAACTTTTGTTATCAATAGCAATAAAAGTGTTAGTGTTGAAACAGTTTTGAGTAATGAATGTGTTAAAGTTGAGTGTGTTGTTTCCTGTGCTGAGTCCAACGGGGTCTCATTAATTATCATTTAGGTGGAAAACAACCAATGCATTTGCAGAACTGCTGACGATCGTTGTTGGCGTTAGTTGCAACAGTCTTTCCATCACCAACAGCGTTCAATGTATCATTTTAGTACTCATCAGTCGTCATGTTGAGGCTGGCATTTGTGGCGAGCGGAGAAATGAGGCTAGCCCAACATTATTGTAAATATTAAAAGCACTCGCAGCAGCAGTGGCAGCAGAGATAGAAGTAGCTGTCTTAATATTTTTATTGTTTTGTTCGTATTGATAGAAGCAGGAGCAGCGGGAGAATGTGACGTCGTCTGCAGCGGTGGCACAACAATATCAAAATAATACTGTAGTTAGTAGCAGTAGTGATGCCACCATTAGAATTATTATTAGTAGGAAGTCGTTGTTGGAGTGGTGAGGGTGTCGGTGGTAGAAATGTTGTCATCACAAGTTGTTTCGGGAGTAGTCGCTTTTTATGAGAAGTATCAGTGAGAGCAGTGGAAGGATGGGAAGAAGCGTTGCTAAGTGAAGAGAGCACGTGAGATATCGTTAGAAACAATTCAATTTTTTGCTCGCATCATCATCTATGCCATCAACTCATCATCATCATCATCACCGTCGTTGTCATCATCATCATCACCGTCGTTGTTGTCATCATCATCATCATCACCGTCGTTGTCATCATCATCATCACCGTCGTTGTTGTCATCATCATCATTATCCTCATTGTTGTTATTTTTCATATTGTCATCATCTTCATCGTCATCATCATTTGTGCCGTTATTAGTATACCATTTAATTTATTTTGTTGGCGTATGAATTTCTACTTATAGTTTATGTGGCATCATCATCTGCCCATCCTCTCTGCGTTGCAACCATGCTATTATTTGCATTGTTAATACCTATACTGTCTTTATTAAATCATCATCAACATCACTGAATCATCATCATCACTACTGAATTGTCATCATCACCACTGGATCGTCATCATCACCACTGAATTGTCATCATCACCACTGAATCGTCATCATCATCACTTCATCATTCCTTACGCTCCAGGTAACATCTCATAAGTACAAGAAAAAAAACTTGTCAATTTGTGAAATCTATTAGTTAATGTACTTTCTTAAGTGTTAAAATTCTATTTGGAATGATTGAATGATTTTTTTCATTTTTTATTCACTCACACCACACACACACCACACACACACACCACACACACACAAACACACAAACAAACTGACAGTTTGGACATCATGAACCTGCCCCCGCACTGCCTACCCCAGCAGCGCAGGCACAACAGGGAGGCCAGTGAGAACATGCTGAACGAAGAGGACGATGGCGACCTGACGGGCAGGGGTGGCGGGGTGGTGGCAGCCTCTGGCAGCCACCTGAGCCATTCCTCCGCCAGGAGGGAATCCATCTTCTATAAACCATCCGTCAGTGACAGCGATTCCTCGCCGGTCTCTCTCAGTAGAAAAATATCGGGCAACAGTGAAATGTTAGTTGTTGTTGATGATGATGATAGTGATAGTGGTGGTGATGATGATGATGATGGGGGTGAGAGTGGTGATGATGATGCAGGTATTGGTAATGATGGTGGTGGTGACGGTAGTGATGGTGGTGGTGGCAGTAAAAAGAGAGTGATGATAGTAATGATAATTTAAATCTGTAAACGATGATACAAGATCGATGATAGTATCAAAAAAAGTTTACTCTGATGATGTTGAATAATTGAGATGATGATGATGATGAATAATTGAGATGATGATGATGATGATGTTGAATAATTGGGATGATGATGATGATGTTGAATAATTGGGATGATGATGATGATGATGTTGAATAATTGGGATGATGATGATGATGTTGAATAATTGGGATGATGATGTTGAATAATTGGGATGATGATGATGATGATGTTGAATAATTGGGATGATGATGATGATGATGTTGAATAATTGGGATGATGATGATGATGATGATGTTGAATAATTGGGATGATGATGATGATGATGATGATGTTGAATAATTGGGATGATAGCAGGAAAGAATGATGATGATCATTGTGAATTTATTGGTCAAAGAGGACAAATAATTTTGAGTGTAAAGATGAAATGTTTCCATGTTGATGATGATTATGATGACGGTGTTGATGATAATGATACTGATAATGTTAGTGGTGACGTTAATAATGATCTTCCTGATGTGTCTCTTGATGGTAACGATGATGACGATGACAATGTTGATGATGATGTTGATAATGATAGATGATGTTGCCGGCTTTGTTCGGTTAATTGATTCTGTTAAATGCACAAATGTATCGCTGCTGTTCAATCTGCAGCCACTTTGTCGTCACCGTCGTTGTCGTCATCGCTGCAAATAGTATCCTCATCATCAACTTCATCAACTTCGGCGTCGTCGTTATTTAAAATAAAAAACTGGCATTCATTTTTTATGATGAAGTTCTCACTATGTTGTTAGTTTTCAATGCATGTTGATGTTGCTGCTGTTGTTGCTGCTGCTGTTGATGTTGCTGCTGTTGTTGTTGCTGCAGTTGGTGTTGCTGCTGTTATTGTTGATGCTGTTGCTGTTGATGTTGTTTATATTATTGATGTTGTTGATGCTGTGAATGTTGCTGTTGTTTTTGTTGCTGCTGTTGTTGTTGCTGCTGTTTTTGATGTTGTTGTTGATGTTGTTGTTGATGTTGCTGCTGTTGTTATTGATATTTTTTGATGCTATTAATGTTGCTGCTGTTGTTGATAATGTTGTTGATGCTGTTGATGTTATTGATGTTTTTGTTTTTGATGTTGTTGAAGTTGCTGTTATTGTTGATAATGTTTTTAATGTTGTTGATGATGATGCTGTTGTTGTTGTTGTTTTTATATTGCTTTTGAAATAAGTCTTTTTCTAAATAAAGTCGTATTACTTTAAACCGCTATTTAAAATAAAGGACGGTTGCAGGAAGTTTGTTGTTGTTGTTGTGGTTTGTACTGACAATCATGCAATAAAAGGTACACAGTGTATTTGTTGTTGTGAAAATTGCTGATGTTGATGATGTTGTTGTAGATGTTGATGTTGACGATGATGTTGATGATGTTGTTGATAATGTTGACGTTGATGATGTTGTTGATGATGTTGTTGATGATGTTGATGATGTTGTTGTTGTTGATGTTGTTGATGCTGTTGTTGATGTTGTTGATGCTGTTGTAGATGTAATGCTTGTCGAGTGCATGATGATTGATTTTGTATCTAGCTTGCTTTTGCACGTGAGCACAGCAGAAATGTTCCAATTCATTATACCCTCCAGAAAACAAGGAGTTTTCATTAATTTCTGTTTTTTCCAAATTTTATTAACATCTTTTATTTCATGAGCTTAACTTGATGTGTTTTGTTGTATTTTTATTGCTTCATAAAATTTTCTGTCCTAATCGTGTCCATGACGTTAATTCAACATATGTTTGTAAATTTTTTATTTGCTTACCGCAATATCCGTGCATTTAGCATGCTTGCACTGCCATCCTTCCATCCATCCATCCATCCATCCATCCATCCATCCATCCATCTATCAATCCATTCATTCATCCGTACGTCCATCCATACATTCATTCAAATATATACTAATTATTTTATATTCTATGAACAGTAACTCCCATCAGTGCGATGCATCATCAAATCATTCACATTAACGATGCCAATGTTTTTGCATCGAGTCTGATGACTAAAAATTGCTAGCAGTGTGGAGCATTGACAACTCGCCATGATGGTGTTTCCTTCATGCATGTAACATCATGTTGTGCCATCGGTTTAACATTTTTGTTCATTCTCATGATCGTTCGATCCTTCTATATCACTTTTAGTTGTCTTTATTGTAGTTGTTGTTATCTATTCAGAAAACCAACAATATCTTTTTGTTTTTTTTTGCATTCGCTGCTTATTATTCTAACATTTTGTTAATCGGTCGACTCCATTCATCCATCTAATATTGAAAACTCTCGACTTTCAATTAATTCTATCGAATTAACTCCTAGTGAATTTATTTTTGACTATTATTTTAAATTATTTTAATGTAATGAAGCATATTTATTCTTCTACCTTTGCTCATACACCTTTGGGATCAGCCGAGGGCCGCCGCACAAATCCTGAAATGCTGTGCTGTAACATTCTTTCGTTCTGCTTTCATTCGTTGCTTACTGGTTCACTTATTTGCATATTTGTACTTTGTTATTTCAAACTCTTTGTCACTATTAAATTTTTTAAACTACAATTTTTCAGATCTTTTAGTAAACATTTTATTTGTAGCAATCAGTTTTAATTATTTGTTTATCAGTTCGATTTATCGTCACCAATTCGCCGATGACACCATTTTAACCCATCAACTCAAATAATAATCAGTAATATGCTTCCTTCACAACAATCTGCAACTCAGTCCTCACAAGCGAGAACTTATCAAACTAGGCAATTCTCATCAACTGTAGGTTTCCAGAGCCAGTGAGAACATTTCCATCCTTTGAAGTTTTACTTGATTCTTAATTTATCCTTGACAAACACATTATCTCAATTATGCAATAATGCAATCCCACGATCGTGCAATCATACAATCAACAGATAGCAACTAGTTTTATTAGAACATTGGTTCTCAAAATAGTGGTCCACAGACCGGCGCCGGTCCGCGGCGAGGTTTCAAAAATTTCAAAAATTTATGATAAAATTGATAGCTTGGACAGCAAAGCAATTAAGAAAATCATGATTATTACAAGTAGATGAGTTTGAAGGCAGGCAAGCACACGAGGGCATATGCACGATTATAATTAATATTCAATGTGATAACGCGAAAGGACATCCACAATTAACTAACCAGCTTAAATATTCAATCGTGAAATCATTGAGCATCACTCCAGCTTATCTGAACGGTTTGAATTTTATTCTCCTACGGAGGATGATTCACGAATAAGAAAGACATGGATCAGAAATCCTTTTGTTGAACATAAGAGAAATTTGACTATTAAGTTGTAAGATAAAATTTTGGAGCTCGTTCGTTGTCGGTCCACGGTCCAAGGCCTAAAAATGAAGTTTGAAAATACATCATCTCTTCCGTTTTCTGGATCAGCATCAAGTCAGAATACCCAGAGCTCACTGACGAAGCAATAAAACCCTTCTTTCTTTCATTTCTACTTATTTGTGCAAATTTGGATTTTTTATTGGACGAATCCTGACTGAATCATTGCCTTCAAACTCCACCTAATGAAAGCATTTATTCTCATGAAAAACTCTACATACCAAAGCATTTTGAAGGATAACTAATAAGTTCATGCTAAAATTTTTACACTTTTGGCTTTTACTTTACTTAAATAATAAAGTAGAAATAGAGAAGAATTTCAAAATTTATAAAAGAGAGAATTTCAAAATTTAAAAGAAATGCTGCTTTGCACCATCAATCTTAACTAAATCTAAATCTTGCTTGAAAAAATTTTGATGATGACGACGATAAAAGAATTTCGAATTTAATGTAATGTTTTCGTTAAATTAATTTTTATTATAACTTTTTGTTGATATGTAAATAACAGTTTCAAACTAATTTTCAATATAATAATGCAAATGCAAGCGATATTAAACAAAAATTGAGGTATTCAAATTTTTCATAATATTTTATTGTTGTTTTATTTTAAACGATTATAGTGCTTTTATTATTACTTTGTTGTTGTAATTGCTGTCATTATTATAGTTAGAACAACTTATTCAAACATCCGTATTGCAAATATACGTACCTTGCACATATGAATACAAATTTATTTTCATAGATTCACACGTGCAACAATTTGAATGCTTGTGTGTAACATAAAGGGCTGAATGATGGTTTGTTTGTATTGAGATTGTTTGGGTGTGTGTATGTGTGTTTGTTTGTGTGTTTTGAGATTGTCTAAATGTTTGTTTGTTTGTTTGTTTGATGTAAGGTTGTAAGAACATGCTGTCAAAAAAAACCCGCTGAAGTTCTCCAACTGAGGCAACTGTCTCGACTGCAGATTTTTCATTCATATTTTTCATATATTTTTTGTATATATATATATATATATATATATATATATATATATATATATATATATATATATAATTATTTATTTATTTATTTAAATAGGATTAAGACTGTCAGAAAGACAATTATTAATCAAAAATCACAGCATGTTCGGCGTTAGTTAACTTCCAATTTAACTTTTCGTTTTCTAACGGTTGATGGTAAATCATTTTCAAGTTTCTTTAGTAGGAGACTAAAATTTTTGTATATTTTATGCATGATAGAACAAAAAAGCTTTTTTCGGTATTCCTATACCATCTTCGGTGTTCAAATAGATATATTGTGCAAGTGCCCAAATGCTCAAATATATATTATATATACATACTGTGCCTCTACTCTACTGAGCAGATTCTTTGTTTGTTTAAAGTGAATACTTAACTCTCATTTAATTAGTTTTACAACCTTCAATTTCGTTAAATGTAACATTTACGTGTTTTTGTTATCGATGTACAGAGGAATCATCGATAATGAAAACACGTAAAAGTGTTATATTTAACGAAGTTGAAGATTGTAAAGCTAATTAAATGAGTGTTAAGTATTCTTTAAACAAGCAAGGAATCGACAAAGTAGAGTAGAGGCACACACACACATTTATATATATATATATATATATATATATATATATACATATATATATATATATATACATATATATATATACATATAAATATATACATATATATATATTATATACATATAAATATATACATATATATATATATATTATATACATATATATTATATATACATATATATTATATATGCATATATATTATATATACATATATATTATATATACATATATATTATATATACATATATATTATGTATACATATATATTGTATATACATATATATTATATATACATATATATTATATATACTTATATATAATATATACTTTGTCCAGGCATATTATTCCATCTTGTGAGGAGCATGGAAAGTCGGTGTGCTGGGTGTTAAATAAAAGAAAATTGAACTTAGATAATAAATTGCTAAAGGAAAATTTAAATCAAATCAAAATCAAATCAATTTTTGTTCAATCAATCCAAATTAATAAAAATTAGGTAATGATTAGGAGACGTAAGCTAAAAGAAAACAAAATTCTTGTGTCGCAGGCCACCGTTCACAAATTGTTCATTCTAACACGATTTTTTAAGTAAATTTATAATTCATGACAAAATTAACATAATGCACAATTTAAATTTGAAGCAAGATGAAATGTGCAATGATTATACTCTCGCTCTCGTTCAAAGTAAAAAACGTTTGAAATATGCTGTTGAGGCTGCAATAAAAGCGTCTAAAAGGGTAATTTGCTATTAGAAAATGCCTACGAGTAAGATATTTCATCAAAAAAGAATTTTTCATGTTGTTGTTGTTATTATTATTGTTATCGTCATCATCATCATCATGAGAATATTTGCAAAGCGCTTTTTACAAATTTCTTATAAACTGCAGATTGCCTGAAGACCTCCTGATCACTCCGTTTGCTCAGATCCTCCATAATTTGAAGAATGTGAGAAACAATTACGTCACATTGACTGAGTCCTACGTGCCGTCTGCAGAGTTTGTTCAATCTGTTCTGTTAATCTCTCTGTTGTGTTATGATCATTCTATTTTGTTGTTGAAGATAAATGTTAATAGTGATAACGAGAATTAATTTTGGGCTATATCAGTAAATGTTTAATGACAGTAGCAATAATTGTTATGAAGATGGATGAAGTCATCATCATTCATAACAATAACAAAATTGGCAGTTTGTGTTAAAAATAAATGTTACAAAGAGGTTCAAGCCAGGGGCGTCATTTCAGATTTTGGTTGGCGGGGGCGAACTTATGTGGTCTATGACTTAGCATGTAACATATATAAATATATATAAATATATATATAAATATATATATATATATATATATATATATATGTTGGTAATAGACCATAATTTTTACAATATTCTATAAATTCTAAGGAATGTTAGGCGTTAATATGTTTGTAGTTCGTTTTTTCGATTTTTCTCACTAAAGTTTTTTGGTAAACGTTTAGTTTATTAAAATTCAAAATAAACTTATTTTTCGAATTCATGCTGCAATAAGGCCATATTTCGATTCCGAATGAATCATCTTCAGTGCTCCTTGCTGTATATATAGGGAAATATTGTCTTTGTCAAGATGAACTTTGACGTTGTAAAAATTAACTTTGGTGTTGTAAAATTGAACTTTGATGCGAATT